TCTCATAGACCAAAGACATAGCGGTCTGGACACTGCTGTTGTATTTGTATTTCAGCTGATTTATTGTATAGGAATACCTGCCTCATTAGAGTTGCGCGCGCGCGCTTCTATCCTCACCCATCCTCTTAAGGTGATCTTATCTTGAGGTTATCTTGAGATGATTTCGTTGTTTAACGTCCCCGCGGCCCGGTCCTCGACCAGGCCTCCTTTTTGTTACACATCCCCAGGAAGCAGCCCGTAACAGCTGTCTAACTTCCAGGTACCTATTTACTGCTAGGTGAACAGGGCATCAGGGTGAATGAAACTGTGCCTACTTGTTTCCGCCACAGAACATCTTGGCATATAGGATTAAAAAGTTAACACTGTATAATTAATAGAGGTAAGAGATGTGCTGATACTAATATTTCGGCCCATACTGGTTTAATAATCCCATACTTAATTTGTTTTATCACGTATTATGACTGTTCACCCGCGCGAAAGAAATTATTTCTGAAAATTTCCGGATACTGCACAAATGTGTTGACATGGCGAATGTGGTGAGTTGTTTAGACCAAATTGGTAGTTGGGGTGAGCTAGTAAGGGACTATGACCTTGATGATGATGATGAAGATTAAGCCACCCAAAAGGTGGCACGGGCATGAATAGCCCATTATTATTATAATAATAATGACCTTGAGACATTCTCAGTCATTTATAAGCTTAACTACGCCACACTTACCATCACGCTCAAGGTGCCGGGGTCGTATCTAGCGTCTTGGCAATTAATTGATTCTTCTTTAAGTTGTTTTGGTAATTTGGTGTACGAATTTCCTCCATTGTAACCTACTAGGTTGTATATGTTACTGATATTTTAATTTTGTATTTATTAAAGTTGTGTGTGTGTGTGTGTGTGTGTGTGTGTGTTAAGTCAGTCGGGCTGTTTATTGCTGTCGTTTCCTTGTTCTTCACGTTGATTGGTCACTGTGCTATAATTAGGCGATGTTGCCAGACTGTGGAGTGAGTGATTTATGAGGCGTGTGTGTGTGTGTGTGTACTCACCTATTTGTACTCGCCTATTTCTGCTTGCGGGGGTTGAGCTCTGGATCTTTGGTCCCGCCTCTCAACTGTCAATCAACTGGTGTACAGGTTCCTGAGCCTATTGGGCTCTATCATATCTACACTTGAAACTGTGTATGGAGTCAGCCTCCACCACATCACTTCCTAATGCATTCCATTTGTCAACCACTCACACAAACAATTCTTTCTAATATCTCTGTGGCTCATTTGGGCACTCAGTTTCCACCTGTGTCCCCTAGTACGTGTGCCCCTTGTGTTAAATAGCCTGTCTTTATCTACCCTATCAATTCCCTTGAGAATCTTGAATGTGGTGATCATGTCCCCCTAACTCTTCTGTCTTCCAGCGAAGTGAGGTTTAATTCCCGTAGTCTCTCCTCGTAGCTCATACCTCTCAGCTCGGGTACTAGTCTGGTGGCAAACCAGTGTGTGCGCGCGCGTGTGTAGTGGGGCTGTACGCAAGGTGGGGGCAGGGAAAGCTCTGATAAGATAATGTGTGTAAACACTATGTCAGGAAACTCCCCAATAGCGACCTGCTTGCTTCAGGTCGCTCACAGAAGCAGCACCTGTGTTTGCATGACACAAATTTGATTTCGTCTCGTGTTAGCTGGCTAAGAATTCTGCCCACAGCAACACATTTTATAGCCTTGGTTATCATGCGGATATCCCCAACATATAACACGTTTTGGCAGTCTGTTAACAGCTATCATATGGGATTCGTATCCAGTTGTGCTAGAAAGCTAAGCTTCACAGTAACATTCTACCCTCATATAAAAAGCTAAAGTTATTACGGAATTGCAAAAAGACTGGTCAAGCTGCAGTTGTTAACTAGTAGGCTTAAGCTGTTGTCTAGTTGTTAACTAGTGGACTTAAGCTATTGTGTAGTTGTTAACCAGTGGACTTAAGCTATTGTGTAGTTGTTAACCAGTGGACTTAAGCTATTGTGTAGTTGTTAACCAGTGGACTTAGCCTTTTGTGCAGCTGGAGTTATGAACCGAACCTGTCCTCCTACAAAGAACGTCGCATGTCACTCGAATGCGTTACATAAGGCCAAACATTGTTGTACTAGAAAATGGAAGCGGCTGGCGAAAGTGACGTACTGTCCCGTTTTCTGTTGTGGGGCCTCTGGTAGGTTAGGAGAGACCACTTTACTTTGACCGTTTTCTTGACGTTTGGGAAACATTAACAGGACGGACTGATGACCAGCGAGGTTAAGCTATTGTGCAGCGGAAGAACAACGAAGCTGGGGAAAGATATACTATACGACTTCCTCATGTTGACGGAGAACAGGGTGATGACATGATCGGTACATAAAAGATACTCAGAGGAATGGACGAGGAGCACTAGGGCATTGTGAGGAAGATGGTGCAAGTTAACTACATACTTATAATTAACATTCGGATAGGCAGGGCCCAAGAGCTGAAGCTCTGCCTTGCAGACTCAAGTAGGCAAGACTTCACCGTGAAATATGGTGGTGGTAAGTGGTGTGTGAGGGGGGGGTGTAGGGGGCATGCCTTCCCCCCCGCTAAGCCCTCACCACTTCGAAACAATTTTGCATTTTGAAGGATTCATATAATTAATTTATTATGTTTATATGAATTTCATAAATGTGTTGTAAACGGTTATCCTGCAGTAAGATGCATGGTGGTTACAAGGTAGTTGTCAGTAGTGACAATTCACCTTTTAAAGCAGGTAGTTATTGGAATGGTTTAGGCTCGACGCGTGATAACTTGGTCCAACAGGCTGTTGCTGGAGCGGCCCGCAGGCCCACATATCTCCATTACAACCTGCTTGGTCCGGCACTTCTTGCAAGAACCTGTCTTTGCCGTCTAAGAGCCTCTTGAATACTCCACCTTTGTTCCGGCAATATTTCTTATGCTTGTCTCGGCGAGCCATTGTGATCTGTACTCAATTAGTTGTGCTTGTAGGGGTTGAGCTCTGGCTCATTGGTCCTGCCTCTCAACTGTCAATCAACTGTTAGTAATTACTATTTTTTTCCTCCCCTCCCCCCCCCCCCCCACACACACACCCCAGGAAGCAGCCCGTGACAGCTGACTCCCAGGTACCTATATACTGCTAGGTAACAGGAGCATCAGAGTATAAGAAACTCTGCCTATTCTTTCTCGCCGGCGCCGGGAAACGAACCCTGGACCACAGGATCACGCATCCAGCGTGCTCTCTAGTCAGCCACCGACCCCCTGCCGGTGGCTGACTGGACAGCGTCCCACTCTCTCTGGTGTATAACAGGTCATTGGAAACAGGAGACCTACCGGAAAGTTGGAAGACAGCTAATGTGGTCCCAATATACAAGAAGGGTGACAGGCAAGAGAGACTGAACTACAGGCCAGTTTCCCTAACTTGTATACCGTGCAAGGTGATGGAGAAGATCGTGAGGAAAAGGCTCGTAGAGCATCTGGAGGGAAATAGCTTTGTAACACACCACCAGCATGGGTTCAGAGATGGTAAATCGTGCCTCACAGGTTTAATAGAATTTTATGACCAAGCAAAAAAAAAAAAAAAAAAAAAAAAAAATAGGCAAGAAAAAGAAGGGTGGGCAGACTGCATTTTCTTGGACTATCAGAAAGCCTTTGACATAGTACCCCATAAAAGGCTGTTTCAAAAGTTGGAACAACAGGCAGGAGTAAAAGGTAAGGTGCTCCAGTGGATAAGGGAGTATCTAAGCAACTGGAAACAACGAGTAACTGTGAGGGGGAGGCATCAGAGTGGCGAGATGTCACCAGCGGAGTCCCACAGGGTTCTGTACTTGGACCCATCCTGTTTCTAATATATGTAAACGATCTTCCAGAGGGTATAGACTCATTCCTCTCAATGTTTGCTGATGATGCAAAAATTATGAGAAGATTGAAAATGATGAAGATAGATGAAGATAGACAGAGACTACAGAACGACCTGGACAAACTGGAGGAATGGTCTAGATAATGGCTACTAAAGTTCAACTCAGGAAAGTGTGAAGTAATAAAATTAGGCGAAGGGAGCAGAAGGCTGAACACAAGGAGGGATAGGCTGCAGAGCTGAACTGAGAGGCGGGACCAAAAACTAAAGCTCAACCCCCGCAATCACAACTAGGTGAGTACAAGGTACCATCTAGGAGGTGAAATCCTGCAAGAGTCAAATAGAAAGATCTGGGGGTTGATATCACACCGAACCTGTCCCCAGAGGCCCACATCAAAAGAATATCATCAGCGGCATATGCTAGACTGGCCAACATAAGAACTGCCTTTAGAAACTTGTGTAAGGAATCTTTCAGAACCCTGTATACCACTTATGTAAGACCAATCCTGGAGTATGCAGCTCCAGCCTGGAGTCCATACCTAGTTAAACATAAGACAAAGTTAGAGAAGGTTCAGCGGTATGCCACCAGACTAGTCCCAGATCTGAGAGGTATGAGCTACGAGGAAAGGCTACGGGAGCTAAACCTCACGTCTCTGGAAAACAGAAGAGTAAGGGGAGACATGATAACCACCTACAAAATTTCAAGGGAATTCACAGGGTGGACAAAGACAAACTCTTTAGCACGGGTGGGACACAGGTGGAAACTTAGTACCCAAATGAGCCACAGAGACATCAGAATGTCAGAGTAGTTAACAAATGGAATGCATTAGGCAGTGATGTGGTGGAGGCTGACTCCATGCACAGTTTCAAATGTAGATATGATAGAGCCCAGTAGGCTCAGGAACCTGTACACCAGTTGATTGACGAGGCGGGACCAAAGAGCCAGAGCTCGACCCCCGCAAGCACAATTAGGCGAGTACACATACGTATTATGCAAATAAAAGTAAAGTCAACATAAATGACAAGGCTGTCCCCAGTCCTTATACTCGTGCCAATATGTCCCTTAATGCAAATATTGATAGAATTCTAAACATCTACAGAATATAATGAGTTATTTTCATGACAAATTACAAGAATCAGCATTATACCGACAGCAGGAAGTCGTCGAGGAACCCCGAACCAGGGTCGTGATCCGGCGCACCGCCCCCCGGACGTGCCCCCAGGACGTGCCCCCAGGACGTGCCCCCCGGACGTGCCCCCAGGATGCACCAGACGCCAGTGCCCACGGCTGTGTGGCAGCGCAGGACCAACAAGATCATCGCTGCAGGCATCACCGTCATCGGGCTGACCATGATGCTCTCGCTCATACCTCAGTGCATCTACATCGGCATCGCCTTCGTCACCTGCGCCCTCATGTGAGTCTCGGGCGGGGTGAGGGGCGAGGGGGTAAAGAGGATGGAGAGACATAGTGAAGGGAAGTATAGAAGTGGGAAATACAGTGAGGGTTATGATAGCAAGCGGGCTGTCCGCCTTGCTGACACGGTGTGGGTAGCTAAGCTAAGCTTGCTCTCTCTTGTCAGGGAGCTGTGAGTATGTGAGAGGTTCTTCATATTTATTTATATATATGCATATATATATATTTATATACATACACAATTTTTACCAATTATTGGGGGATGGATTTCTGGTCAGTATTTCATCTAGTAAATCGTGGCTCTTGGGCCACCAGCTGTGGGAGTGGGGCGTCTCATCTTGGGCCACCAGCTGTGGGAGCGGGGCGTCTCATTTTGGAGTGATCTTTCTAACATTGGGATGGTGTTCCAAACCCTGATGGCTTGGTGCTGCAGTCTGATGTTTAGTGGCTGTATGTTCAGGAGTTCATGGAGCTCCTGGATTGTCTGATCATATGGTGGACGGTGTTTTGCTGCTCTCCTTAGTGCCTTATTTTGCACTGCTTGCAGTTTCTGCATGTTAGTTTTCTTTATGGTGTGTAGTGGTACTGGGGGATACTCTAGATGCGGCCGAACTAGAGCCTTATATAGGTGTATCTGTATGTTTGTACTGAGGCTTCGGAATCTCCTCAGTTTTCCTAAGGCTGGTTTGACTTTGTTTAGTCGGTCCCTTACGTGAATTTCTATCCCTGTTCTATTGATCATGAGTCCCAGTAGTCTGCCTACCTCCGCATATTGGATAAGGTGGTTGTCAAGGATATTGGGGTCCGTTTTTTTTTTTTTTTGCAATGTGTATTATCTGGAACTTTTGTTTATTTGTGCTAATTTTTCATTGCTTCTCAAAGCTGTTTATGGATTAAATTGCTGCCTTGGTCTTGTCGGCTAGTAGCGGCTTTGATGGCCCCAGTTGGCATATTATTTGGGTGACATCGTCAGCGTACGTGATGTATTCTCCATGTTGGGGTAGGTCAGCTGTATATATGTTTAATAGAGTGGGAGAGAGGCAGCTTCCTTGTGGTACTCCATTTTTCAGTTCTATTACGTCACCCAAGTAGCTGCCGATATTGAGCTAAGCAGTTCTGTTGTCTATAAAGCTGCAAAGACTAAATCTTTGTGGGAGTCCTAGCTCAGATATCTTATATTTTAGGCCTGTGTGCCACACTTTGTCGAAGGCTTTCGAAACGTCTCTAAGCACTATATTACACTAATCTTTTTTCGACACTGCGTTGACTATATGCTGGTAGATCAGGGCTATAGCTGTATGGGCCCCTCTGTGGTTTCTAAACCCATGCTGCCTGGTGTTATACTTCTCTTCCTCTTCATGTACTTCACAAGTGTCTGAGTGATTATTTTTCGAATATTTTGCCTAGTACCTCGAGGAGGGAAATTGGCCTGTAATTTTCAGTTTGGGTTGGGGGTTTACCTGGCTTAGGCTGTTAGTAACGGGAAGAGTTAGGCAGGCCAGCAGTACATAGATAACGCCTTCATGTTAGGGTAATTTGTTTGGCCGTGGTAATGAGGCAAGGTTATGAGTGAGTAATGTGGCGGGGCCTGTTGCTGACTGTTGTAGTGTACTGATGACTGTTGTTGTTGACTGTTGTAGTCGACAGTGACGTGATATACTATACTCACCTCTTATATTTACAACCATTATAACGGGGCGGTGTACAACCACCACCATTACTGATGCCCTCACTTATCATATCTTAATATCACAGAAAATACACCATCTTAAAAACACATGTTGAAGTGTTTACATCACAGTACAAGTTAATATCAATGTAAAAGTTGGCGGAGTGATTTGAGTGGACATGGTACCTCTTGAGTGACTGGGCGAGGGGTGGCACTCCTGCCCCCCCCCCCCATCCTTGGTGGCACTGTGGTGTCAAGGGCACGTGTCAGCCCCTGCACGTGTTGACTACTGGTTATCTCCACAGATGGCTGGGATGGATGACGATGAAGGAGAGGAATATGGAGCCTCCCAGACCTGAGAGTGAGCACCCAGCCTCCCCCGTCCTCTTCCTTGTGGCTTCCCATCACCTCCACCAGGTGAGTGACCACCCCCTCCCACGCCTCCACCAGGTGAGTCCCCACAACACTGTACACCGTACCTCTAGCCGGAGACAGCGACATGAGCACCCAGCAGCAGTAAGACACGTAAGGTAAGATGTGTCGTGTGGGAGACTGGTAAGTCGCGTGCTACCAGCAACACGGCCGCCTGGACGAGCGGGGTCACTCACGGCTGCTCCTTGATGGGTGAAGTGGTCCACCTTGAGCGCAAGTGGCAGTATGAGGCTAATGGGTGGGTAGTACCGCTTGTTATGCTCCTGTGTTATATATATATAATATATATAAGAAAGATTCTGCGCGCTTGAATTAAAATTATTTAGTCTACTTTCCAAGGCCAACTATCCACAGTTTCTTAATGTTTCAGTATCGATGATTAGTTTGTGAGAGTGATGGGTTTTGTTCTTACAAGTCAAGAGTAACTTAACCTTTAGCCACAGTCCAAGACGAGTGAACCAATGAACCAATCCAACTCGACTGAACCAGTGCCAGCAGTAACCATGTACCATGAACAAGGCACAATGATACAAGTTGGCACCCTGGTGAGGGTATATCTTGAGGTTGGTTATCTTGAGAGGATTTCGGGGCTTAGCGTCCCCGCGGCCCGGTCCTCGACCAGGCCTCCTATTTGTTACACAACCCCAGGAAGCAGCCCGTAGCAGCTGTCGGCTCCCAGGTATCTATTTACTGCTAGGTCACAGGGTACTGGGAACATTGAACACAATTTCTTCACTGTTCATCACAGTAGTTTACCTGTGAGTAAAATGATTGGCAGATCGTCTTCTGGGTAAACAAACGGCGCTAAATTACTAAACTGTTCCTAGAACCTAACTAAAAAGCCTAAATCTCAACATAAACAACGTAAATGCAAGGAGCAATTTTTAACTTGATGCCCGGGTTATCGTGTTCCCACAGTGCCTGATTGATGAACTGGTTATCGTGTTTCACACACCACAATATCAGATGTCACTTATCTGATACCTTTATAATATATTTAATCATTAGGCTATATAATATACATATACTCAGATACGGTAAAAGTGAGGACCTTAAACATAATACAGGGTACAGAACACAATCAAATCTAACCATAGCAGGAAAACAACATGTAAAGGATTTGGGAATAATGATGTCTGACGACCTAACGTTTCGGGAGCATAACTAAGCAAATATTGCGTCAACCAGAAAAATGATAGGATGGATTACGAGAACTTTCAAATCCAGGACTCCCATCACAATGGTTGTACTCTTCAAGTCACTTGTGTTGTCCCGTCTTGGGTACTGCTCAGTACTCACTTCCCCCTTCCGAGCAGGAGAGATTGCTGAAATACAAGGAATTCAGAGAACATATACGGCACGCATAGACGCGATAAAGCACCTAATTTATTGGGATCGTCTCAAAGCTCTCCAAATGTACTCACTAGAAAGGAGACGAGAGAGATACCAAATAATATACACATGGAAAATACTGGAGGGACAGGCCCCAAATCAACACAGTAAAATATCACGTACTGGAGTGAACAATATGGAAGAAAAAGCACAATATGACCAGTGAAGAGCAGAGGTGCCATAGGCACAATCGGAGAACACTGTATAAACATCACAGGTCCGCGGTTGTTTAACGTCCTCCCATGGACTATATGAAATATTGCCGGAACAACCGTGACATCTTCAAGAGAAAACTAGAGTTTTCTTCAAGAAGTGCCTAATCAACCGGGCTGTGGTAGGTATGTGGGCCCACATACCCACCACAGTATGGTGGTGGGTGGGCCCACATACCCACCACAGTATGTTGCTTGGAGCGGCCTGTGGGCCGCTCCAAGCAACAGCCTGGTGGACCAAACACTCAAAAGTCAAGCCTGGCCTCGGGCCGGGCTTGGGGAGTAGAACTACTCCCAGAACCCCATCAACCAGGTATATAAGATATGATATATATAATGTATGTATATAGAAACCTTCCTACCCCCTTGCAAAATTTTCTAATCTTTCCACTTTCTCTTCGTCCCAGTAATTTTAGCGTCGAAGGGGTCTTAGCGAAATTGGAAATAGTATTATTTGCCATTTCATGCAAAGGTTTAGTGGGCATGTTACTATACCGCAAGTCGCCTATGACCATCCCCTAAGAAAGACCAGTCACCCTGCAACGTCTGGTGAGGCTGGTGAGTCAAGAGACAACACCGAGCCGGACTGTCTTGCCCAAAAGCTCCCGACCCCTAACCTCAAACACAGGAAAATATACAATGTATCGTCGACTGCTCTTCCCAGAACGTTGCCATGCATTTACCAGGACATACGCTCCGGTTAGGGCATGACGACACAGCTGGTCATGTCGCCATTTATGTCCATTTAATTAGGGCCGGCAAGGAGGACATGACCAGGAGGTTGTCAAGGCTCCCGACCGCGGCACCACGACAACTCTTGCACCTGAGGATAACAGTTACATGGACACTGTGGGTATTTCCATTGTCAGGGGTGTGTGTGCTGGGGCCTTGAGTCCCACACCCGCTGCTACAGTCACTCCTCTACCCTCCCTCCCTCCCTCCCTCCCTCCTTACCTCCCTCCCTCCCCTCCTTCACCCCTCCCCTCCTTCACCCCTCCCTCCTTCCCTATTTACCTTCGTCACTGCAGAGCACACACAACTTTGATAAGATATATAATTTAAGCAATAAATTTTTATTCGGCAAAGCAAAATTATGCCATCATGCTCAAGTGGAACCTGCACATTCCAGCGGCAGAGTCAGCTGAGAGTGCTTGGTGAAGTGTTACATCACCGTAGTGGTGGTGTGGGGCAGCGCTGGCCTCTTACTCTTACCCTCAAGTGAAGTTTAGCACTTTGAGTGTGCCCAACTACTTGGGCTGGACGGTAAAGCGACGGTCTCGCTTCATGCATGTCAGCGTTCAATCGACCGTCCAAGTGGTTGGGCACCATTCCTTCCTCCCTGACCCATCCCAAATCCTTATCCTGACCCCTTCCAAGGGCAATATGGTCGTAATGGCTTGACGCTTTCTCCTGATAATTATCCTTGATGTTGTGGATATAGTTGGCTTCCACAACAATCAATGTAGCCCACTTGTTGACCACCCATATCAGATAAGAGTATTTCCTTGTATTTCAACTCATTTGGGTTTCCAGCTTCCATCTATGTCCTCTCTTCATACTTTCTCTCACTTTAAAAGAGGCTGCCCTTGCCCCATTGTCAATTCTCCTCAATATAATAATTATTTTATTATACTGTATGTAGTTTGTATGTTGCGTTTATGTCCCCTCCGTTTTCTTCTCTCCAGATTTGGTCTTTCTCTTAAACCTTACTTCATAGCTTAGTCCTCTTAGCTCTGACACTAATCTTGTAGTAAGACTTTGTACTTTATCAATTTTGGCTTTATGCACCACTAAGAGTGCATCTAGGCCGGTGCCGCAAATTCAGATATTGGTCAAAGGCGACATAGGTTACCTTGAAAGGGCCCTGGTTTAGGGTTCTAAACATTAGAACAATGTTTGCCTGCATCCTATATTCTGCCGCTGTAACCCTGCTTCTGTATGCCTCTGGAAATAGTGTTGGAATTATAGTCTCAAATCCTTATCTCTTCCCAACTCCTATACTGTAGTTTCCTTTCCCTTGTGATGTAAATATCTTCTGGTTTCCATTCTCCCTTTCCCATTTTCATTATTTTTACACTTGTTAGGAATTCTAGTAACCATTTCTTTGCCCAATCTGCAGTTTATCAAGACCATTCTGTAACATTCTGCAATCTTTCGTTTTTATGTCCCTCTTTCTTTGGTTTGTCTGCAAACTCTTCTGGGTAAGGATAGTTTGCAGAAATAAATTTACCCTTTACATAAACTTGGAACATTAGGGTCCTAGGAACAACCCTTTTGGAACAAAAATAGAGTTCAAATTACATATGCTTCCTTGGCTATGCCAAATTTCATAATTAAATTCTGATATTGATACTGTATATTATTTCCTGAAATGTGGATTAGTTTACCCAATATTTTTGAGGTGTTTGAATACAAACACTTTGGCTTTATATTTATATATCTAATATTGCTTTGTGACAATTGCTTATTTCTGTATTGTTTCTACACCACTTTTGTTTGTAATATCTTGAGAGGGGGGGTTTATGAACCATGCCTTACTCCACCTCACCAATTAACAACAAAGTTACCTGCTGATTCCAGGGTAATTACCCAGTCAGCTGCTTGCTGGGGAGGAGAGGTGGTGTTAGTGTTTGGAAAGGGGGCCCCCTTCCATTATAACATTAGGCAGTGATGACTTCTCTGGCAAAAGATTTATGCATTTTGAAGGGAAACCAGAATTCCCTTCCCTACCTTTTTGAAGGGAAACAACGACGACTTCTCTTGGGTACCCTCTCTCCTACGTTTTGCCTGCATACCACTAGGACCTGGTTGTGGCTCACTGCTTTTCTTTCTTATTAAGAATCTTTCCATAGAGACTTGTTTTTCCCTACATTTTAACACTTGTCTGTAGTGAGGCATCAGTGTCATTAAAAAGGTTAAGGTAACGACCTACTGCAGCTTGATTTGGGCGAGTTGTTTCAACAAAACTTTCCATTTCTTCTCATACTGCACACCACTTGTTGAGGAACCCATGGCATGGTATATATAATAATTATTTGTATGTTTAGAAAACAAAAAAGCTGAAAAACTGAAATTCTTTACAAAGAATTCAAGTGCGATCATCACTAAGCGGGAGCCACTGGTAAACTGAAGTGCAGTCGCCTGTGCCACCAGGAATTACGCGCTTGGTCGACCCATACGTGTATCAACGAGCTCGCAAATCGAGGCAAAGCTCATAAACCGATTTCAATTTTACAAAGAAATAGAGCTTGCAACCCTAAAAATTAGTAAAGAGATCCTGGTTGTGGCTCAATGCTTGATTTTCTCACTTCTCACAAGGAAACGTTCCATTGAAGATTGTTTTTCCCTTCTTTGCAACACTGTCTGTAGTGAGGCATCACATTGTCATTAAAAAGATAAATGCAACGGCCTACTACAGCTTTATCTACGTGATTCTTTTCAGCAAAACTTTGCAGTCCTTCCCATACTGCACACATTTTCTTAATTAATGAGGAAGGGACTTTCTCTACTGCCTCCTCCTTCCTTCCCCTGAATATTTGTTGTACTGCCTAGGTAGTTCAACAACATGAGTACCATTTTCATGCTTACAAATCGTCTCTTGTTTTTCCTCTATGGTCATTCTCACATGTGACTTCTTGCCTTGAACCTTACCACTGGCTTTCTTGGGACCCATGGCGAGATATACACTGTAATAACAACTTTTATACTCAAATGGCCAAAAAATCCAACAAAAAACTGTAAATTCTTGTGAAGAATTCAGGCAGGATAGTCACTGGATGTGATGCACTGGTAAACTGAGGCGCGATCGCCGTGCCACCACATGCTAGGTCGGCCATACGCGTATCAACAAACTCGTATCCCGATGCAAAGCTCGTAACCAGATTAAAATTTTCCAAACAAATTGGCTCGTAACCCAAAAAGTTTGTAAACAGGGACGTTCGTAACCCGAGGTACCACTATATAATTATATATTCAGTACTGTACTTAACTTTTAACTCGTAATACTACTGTACATGTAAATAATTCATATTTATACTGTAGTTAAATATTCTATTAATATTTTGCTTTCTAATTCACCCTAACTGCTCTAACTGTACTGTGGTCACCAGTTTTAGTTATTAAATAATTTAATTGAAATTCCACCCCTTTGCCCTGTTTGACATTTGATCAATTGTGACTCCTAGTATCAGTTTGCTTTTTGGCATAATTTTGTGCTTGGGGTTGACTCTCCCACTAAAACATTGTCATGACACATTTTCATAAAAAATACTCCATCCATTGTTGTTGTTTGCTTTATAGAGAATTTCATACATGTATGTACAGTATAAGAGTACTGTATAGTATTTTGTATTCACTTATGAAACATGTACAAACCAATTTTTAGTCTTTTGTACTTAGATGCTATTTATTAATAATTTATTTGTTGTTTTAAATAATACTGTATCAAGATGGCTACAAAATTTAACCATCATTCTTTTTACAGACCTCAAGAGGTCCAACCTTGCCAGATCCCGAAGATAAACCTCCAACCTATGACCAGATTGTAAAACTCGATGGACTTCCTCCAGACTATTATTCCATCCTGACTGAGAAACCTCCTAGGTAAGAGGCTTATATGATGTAAAGTTTGCTTGTCTTGTGCATGGAGTATGGATGTGACAACTCGACTGCCCACCATAGGGAATTTTAACAAGACAGTTGATTGGATGAATCTAATATCACATTTGGAAGGAGAAAAATTTCTTGACGTAGTTTTTCTTGATAATTTAACTCCCCGCATTTTGCTAGTCAGATATATTTCCATTTAAGATGGCCCTATACTTTCATTGTAATGCCAACGTGGCACAGTCATAGCAATGTCTGTGGCTCATTTAAATGTGATTTCTAGAGATGTGGTTGTGTCTACCTCAGAATTTAATGTTGAAGAATTTTTGAAGTAGTGGTGATCACTATGAGAGGTCCCTCATAAGGTGGATACAGTGGTCGGTGGATAGCATTAACTCGTACAAAAATGTGCTTGGCAAAGTGATCAACCATGGGACATGTATATTGTGTTGATTGTCACAACAATCATTGGTTTACAGTGGTTGTCACAACAATCATTGGTTTACAGTGGATGGGTCCAACAAAGCATGGAGGGTTTTGGGGCAAGGAGTTTCCTGGGGAGCTAGAGGTAACTATAGGTGAGGTCCACTTCAGAGAAATCGCCGTCTTCCTCTGTCGAGGAACAAATATTGTAGTGGGCCAGTGGAAAGCTCAGTCAGGTGTGGCAACATGACTGCATCCAGAGCATGGCTTTAAGATTCTAGTTAAAACATTATACCATTCTGTTGAACTCTGGGTGACACCACCTGGATTGGTAGGCCATGGTGTGGTAATGCACAGCACCAACGAACTGCATGATATCTTTCCACACATAGAAATTGCTTGAACTGATGAGCCTGGTCAGTGATAACAGAGTGCACACTAAATTTGGAAATACAACCATGAAAGAAGGTGGGATCAACAGACCCTGCAGTCTTGTCCAACTTAGGTACAGCTTTTGGCCGTCTGAGGAACCAGTCGATGCAAGTTATGACGTAGAAGTGGCTATGGGATGAAAGTTAGTTGGGGTGCTCTGATGTCAGTGTGTGCTACCTGCCAAAGGAAGTTTTACAGTGGGGGTCTTTTGTATTGCAGTGAACCTTGGATTGTTGACACTGGAGGCAGGAACACACCCAATGGATGAACATAAACATTGAATATGCACCACACCACCTACTCTAGAATGTTAGGTGTGCAAGGGAGTGGAAGGCCAGGAGGTTAATTTTTTGGTAGTAGGCTGGGATGCAGGATGTTGTTGTGGAAGGATCTTCTGTGGTTCCTCTGCTGCCTACCACCCTAAATCCAGTGGTATAGTGGAGCATTTACACTGGCAGCCTAAATTCATGCCATAATATCTAGCTTGATAACCTTTCTCTGGTTCTCCTTGCTGTTTATTTTGATAAAAAAAACTAGCAGACCTCACGACTTTTCCCTGGAACCTATTGCTGCATGATGGGTCCACCCACCTTCATGGGAAACCATGACTTCTATGACAAAGATTTATCCAGTACCACCATACCGCCCACCACACACCAAACATGTGTGTCCAGTGTTCTCAACTTTGCCACACATATCTTTGTCTAAGTTGATGTATTTGATCCATGGTTGGTGTGGGGCAGAGAGGAGAGAGTTGCCGAGAGATGTGGTTGCATAATTATATTGACAAGCAGGTTGCTACACTCCCGAAACTTTCTAAGTATAAATACGATACTTTATGAAGTGCAGCACACTTAGGATCAACCATAATTAATAATATACTGTACTATAATTTTAAAATGTTGCAAAATGCCTGAAAAATTGCAAGGGGGTCAGACTGAATTTGTGAAGGCTGTTTGATCTGGTTCTACAAAAAACAAAAAATGTTAATCCATGTTCAATCTTTCATATTGCTGAAAAGTGCTGCATCTTTTTGAAAATAAGGATAAGAACAAAAAAATTAGAATTGCAAAATCCTGTTATTATAGCAACATTTAAAGTTTGGTATGCCTGTATTACCCACAGGTGGGAATTTCTGTTTCCTATAGATATATATTTTACCTGGTTGTTTAAATGTTGATAATACAATATTAAAATATGTACAATACCTATGAAATGTACAGTACTCTTTTTCAAAGAATATTATAACAATGGAATGATATTGTGAAGCAGTCAAAGCAAGAATGATTTTCAGCATTAAGATATGCCTAGATAAACTCCACATACAAGAGAGGGGAAACTTTACACAAGCCGCTGGCTTTCATTTTCGTTTTTATTAGATACAGTTAGTGGAGTTTAGGTATATTATACAAAGTATAGAGTACATACAGTGAATATGCATTATGTCAGATCAAATTTACATGGCTCATTTCTTTCCGCAGATATGAAGAGTTAAGTCCAACATTGGGATGGGGTGCATGCGCATTACCTGCAAAGTTTTACACAACTGAACATCCTTGCGTTCACACATCAACAGTTGGCTCGACTGGGTCCATTGAGGTTGTTCTTCACGGAGAGTCTACGTCCTCATTTCTTCACGAGTCTCCCTCGTGGTCATCTCAATCTGGTCTTTCACCTGCTAATAATGGTGTCCAAAGTCCAAGTTTTGCTAGTGACAACCCAAGTTTTCAACTTGTTTTAGAGGATATTGATGCAAAGGAAAGCTTGTCATTAGCAATGTCCCAGGAAAATGATTCAACTCAAGAAGAGAGAATAGAAATGGAAAAAGATGATGATAGCAAAGTTCCTACAGATCATAGTAGTGTTTAAGCTTTTTACCACAGTTTTAGTAATATTTTGCCCACATTTGAAACTGCTGGCTATGAAGCTGTCCTTTTGGACAATAAAGACATCATATCCATACTGAATTTTGTTCAGTATGAAATATGGGGGAGGGGGGGTTCTCTTGTTATTTGTTTGACTATTCTTGATATACAATACTCTGATTCAGCCCAGAGTGGAAATCTAGAATGGTGCTTCTAATACGCTTACATGCCTGTAAAGTTAATCTTACATATGGTGCGTTTTATTGTCATGTTGACAAGTGATGCTGATACGTCCAGAACTGTTACTTATGTTAAATGTCGGTAAGTTCAGTCAGTTTGTTACTTATGTTAAAAATATGTGATCATATTTTTCACTTTTCTGATGACTAAGGGTTTGAGAAATGCTGACAGTGGCATTATTTGTTCGGTAAGGGTAGACTGGCATCGTACAATAATGTGTAGATTATTTATGAAGAATGGACAATGCCAATGGTGTGTGGAGAGAGGTGGAGTGCCTGCAGGTGCCAAGGCTGCTAAACCTACTTACTCAGGTACTGCAGATTCTTTCACAAGATGTTGTTCAGATACATTTTGTATTATGTAATATGCTTTGACTTGAATTCCCCAGTTGTAGAGGTACTTATACAGAAGAAAATACATTTTTCTGACTTCTTACTGCAGCATGACGAGTATAATATTTATACTCGTGATGAATATATGTACACACAATTTGTGTGGTATTTCTTGTACTGTATTCTTTCTGAAAGTAATCTAAATTTGTTAAAAATTAAGTTACTGGTTCCCAGCAAGAGGGAATTGCCTTCACTTTTAAGGTAGAATTTGTATCACATATATAGTACATTTAGTACTATGAATGCACAAGAGCATCTTTTGCTTTTTTTTTCATCTCTAGAAGCTAAAGTAAATTGATCTTCAATTTTTAGGCAAAAAGTTAGGATTTAAGGCACTCATTTCCTAGCTCAAGCTGCTGTACCTAGTGACAGCACGTCACAGATTCTGCAGTATGGTGCTGTACCTAGTGACAGCACAACTCATATTCTGCAGTACAGTGCTGTACCTAGTGACAGCACAGCTCATATTCTGCAGTACAGTGCTGTACCTAGTGACAGCACAACTCATATTCTGCAGTACAGTGCTGTACCTAGTGACAGCACAGCTCATATTCTGCAGTACGGTGCTGTACCTAGTGACAGCACAGCTCATATTCTGCAGTACGGTGCTGTACCTAGTGACAGCACAGCTCATATTCTGCAGTACGGTGCTGTACCTAGTGACAGCACAGCTCATATTCTGCAGTACGGTGCTGTACCTAGTGACAGCACGGCTCATATTCTGAAGTGCGATGCTGTACCTAGTGACAGCACAGCTCGTATTCTGCAGTAAATTATGCTGGTCAACACCCCTAACCAGTGTAATCATAATCCACAGAGAGGCTCTAACATTCTCTTAAAAAATGATTTAATCCAAACCCCTGAGCTATTGTAGTATTTTATAGCTGTAAGTAGCCATCGCTAGACTTATATCTGCATTATCTATTTATCTTGCCCTGTGTTTTTCTCAACACAACCAAACCAAAGATTCCATAACATGTCTTCAGTTGGATTTATTCTTTAAGGTTAACTAGAATGTACGGAATGTCGTAAGATGTTGATTGTGCACGTTAATTGATTTTTGATTGATTGCTAGTCTTAAGGGCTAGCAAATTCAAAATTTAGTAAGAGGAAGCTAAATCTTATGATTTCAGTGTTGGATGCAATAAGTGAATTCTGTATAACATGAAACCCCTTCAATGAGCATGTGTATGTGTGGTCCTACCATTTCTTGTGTACTTACATGTGATATGGCATATTTTTATAGGTCCTTTATACATTAAAAATACATAAATTAAAATTTATATTCCTAACCTTAAAAATCCATTCTAATGTTAAAACTATAATAGCATTAATGGTTTGAGGATATATCCTATTTGAACATTGGTTAATTTTTTTTTCTATTTAATTCTTTATAATCTTATAGCTTGGTTGCCATTATTGGGAACAGGAAACCTGTATGGTTTACCAAACTTCTCTTTGGCCAGCTTCTATAGTATGACTGCCGAGTTTCGTGTCCACAAGAAATTGCACCACTGTGATGTAGCAAAGTATGAGCCTCTGAGGGGAAAGCTGTTCAAGGTTTAAGGCCTTGGACATTGATGACTGTTCTCTCCTGGTTTACTAGGAGTGGAGGAGGCTCACACAGGCTGAGCAGTGAGTACTGGCCTATCCCAGGATGCAACCCACAGCAATTGTTCAATGCCTTGCCACCTGTTTACTGTTAGATGAACAAAGGTGCATTAGGTGAAATGATGTATCCAACCATTTCTGTCCCGCCCAGAGATCAAAATTCGGTATCCTCAATTGTCAGTCGAGGACATTGGACCCAAGCCAGAATATATCCCATAGGGTGAGTATAAAGTGGTAAAGGTTTGATGGCTTGTGGATGTAAACATAGTGAGTGCTTTGTGTTTTCTGACCTGTCTGTACCACCTAGTTGAGTTCTGGCTCTTTGGTCTTGCCTCTCAACTGTCAAATCAACTGACGTACAGGTTCCCGAGCCTATTGAGCTTATGTGTACACTTGAAACAGAACCAGTCTCCATGGTGCAGTGGTAAGACACTCGCCTGGTGTTCCGCGAGCGCTTTGTCATGGGTTCGTATCCTGGCCGGGGAGGATTTACTGGGCACAAATCCTTAGCTGTAGCCTCTGTTTAACGCAACAGTAAAATGTGTACTTGGTTGTAATAACGATTCTTTGCGGCGGGAATCGTATTCCAGGGACCTGCCCGAAACGCTACGCATACTAGTGGCTGTACAAGAATGTAACAACTCTTGTATATATCTAAAAAAAAAAAAAAAAAAAAAAAAAAAAAAAAAAAAAAAATGAAAAATACTTCTGTACTGTTGTTATTGTGGCCGAGTTACACACACACTTATGTAATAACAATAAAAATAATAATTTTTAATTTGAAAATATGAGGAAAAGCATGATAGTGGTTTATTAATTATTAGTCTATCGAAGCCACTAATATACAGTTTAGGGCATAACTTAAAATAATTTGGTTAAATTATTTATGGGTTGGACAGGGGTAAATGTTTAATTTTAAACAAGAGGTAAGCTAATATATATATGAATTGTTTAAGAAGATTAGCAAATAATATACAGATTTTATGATAATATAGAAAGACATGAATGAGCGAAGTGCAGGACAAGTGTCTTACCACTGCACCACGGGGACATTACTTAGTTTTCTCTTAAACCGATTGAGAGAGGGGGCAGTCATTGAAGTGGTTGGGAAGGTCATTCCACATTCTGGGTCCCTTAATTTGAAGAGCATTTCTAGTTTGGTTAAGTCACACTCTTGGAATATCAAATAGGCACCACTGGTGTGGCGCCCATGGGTTCTGTTACAACCTTCTAGAAAGCATTTAAGGTCAGGATTGGTAATACAGTTCAGAGTTTTAAATATATAGGGTATGCTAGAGAGGATGTGCAGTGACTTAATATCTTACATATTCAAAGGTTTAAGTAATGATGTCGAGTGTTGTCTGGGGCCAGAGTTTAATATTGTTCTAATAGCAGCTTTGTGTTGAGTAATTACATGACGTAGATGGTTTTGGGTAGTAGAACCCCAAGCACAAATACCATAATTAAGATAAGAATAGATGAGAGAATAATAAAGCATTACCAAGGCATGACATTTCATTTTAGAAAGGATGCCAACTGTTTTAGAAACTTTTTAAATATACTGTATATTGAATGTGGCCCTGAAAATTTAATTTGATATCAATGAAAACACCAAGAAATTTATCATCTGTCTTGTTTGAACCTGTCATATTCACTAATTTGAATATTGTTAATTCTTAAATTAATTTTATCTGATGATTTATTACCAAACAAAATATAGAAGGTTTTATCAATGCTGGGATTATAAACCCACGGAACTGCCTACCCGGCGTAGCCATAAATGCCAAAACTCCTAACTTTTAAAGTACCGCTGGAAAAAGATTTCAAAGACAAATGGGAGCATATTTGACAATCCGCCGGCTTCCTGTCCTCTCCAAGGCCATTAGTGTTAGTAGTTCTCGGGTTAACTCAGGGAGTGCATCCACCAGGAGAAAACTGATTCCTTAAAAAAGTATATAATTGTTTGGTATAACGTAAAAAGAAAGAATTCCAAGTACATTCCTTAATTGGAAAAGATAAGCAAAAATATAGCTGATAAATGCAGAAAACCAGTTATAAGCAAAAAATAAGAAGTAGGGAAAAAAAGATATGGAACCAGAAAACACATTGGAACGCTTGTTGAACGTGGGTGTCATTTCGTCAACACCTGGAGAGTGTCTAGACACCAGCATAATAAAACCTTGCCACAAACTGCACCTATCATAAAGAAGAAGCACCACCATTGACCGCCAACTGCTTACATCGTCTAACTCTAAGAAACAACACTAGCCTTGCCTAACCGTCAACATTGACGCTGGACCATGACACGTCTCCATCATCACTCTGCAGTCATCCCGAGGAGAAAACCTTCACACAAACTACATTTATCATAAAGAAGATGAAGACTCACCAGTGTCCAGAGTGTGGGAAGGTATTCACTAGTCTTAGACATGTGAAGACTCACATGTTTGTGCATTCCGGTGACAAACCTTATGAGTGTCCAGAGTGTGGGAAGAGATTCAGTCATGTTGTAAGTATGAAGCGTCACATGTTAGTGCATTCGGGTAACAAATCTCACGAGTGTCCAGAGTGTGAGAAGGTATTCACTCAACTTGGACATTTGAAGATTCACATGTTAGTGCATTCAGGTGAGAAACCTCATGAGTGTACAGAGTGTGGGAAGAAATTCAGACAGCGTGGAATTATGAAGACCCATATGTTAGTGCATTCGGGTGACAAACCTTATGAGTGTCCAGAGTGTGGGAAGAGATTCAGTCAGCGTGGCAGTATGAATATTCACAGGATGATTCACGCGAATCAAAATCCTTTTGAATGTGCTGAGTGTGGCAAAAAATTTAGAGAACGTGGATCTATAATACGTCACTTATCAGTGCATTCGCGTGATAAAGCTCATCAGTGTCCAGAGTGTGGGAAGAGATTCAGTCAGCTTGGAGGTATGAAAACTCACAGGATGATGCATACGGATCAAAAACCTTTTGAATGTGCTGAGTGTGGCAAAAAAATGAGACACCGTGGGAGTTTAATTAGTCACATGTTAGTGCATTCCGATGACAAAGCTCACGAGTGTCCAGAGTGTGGAAAGAGATTTAGGCAGCGTGGAACTATGAAGGCTCACAGGATGACGCATACAGACCAAAAGCCTTTTGAATGTGCTGAGTGTGGCAAAAATATTAGACACCGTGGAAATTTAATACGTCACGTGTTAATGCATTTGCGTGACAAAGCTCATGAGTGTCCAGCATGAGGGAAGAGATTCAGTCAGGAACAGTGCAACCATGCTGGAACAGACGAACACACAAATATTGTTGAAGACATCTTGATAACTTATTAAACCAAAACTATTTATATGTCAGAAGAAAGACAGATAGATACATATTTTTTATAGTGGCGTTCAATAGCTTGTTGGTCATGGAGTGTAGTCGCCCACGTACTGGCAGATATATCTGCTTGATGGGGTTCTGCAGGTATATCTGCCAGTGCGTGGGATATATTGTATAATTAACAAATATACGCCAATAAAGCCAAAAATATTATATGTCTTCAGAAAGACCGAGATATTATCGTTATTGAGAGTGTACCAAAGGAAATATATCTTGTTGGAGAACAAAGATATATCATATCAAATCAAATCAAAATCAAATATATCAATTTTAAATTAAAGTTCAATGGCAACTCTCGCCCTTTCTATTGGAGATGCTGTCCATAGGCTCCTCTCCCTATCAATGGGAACTACAATCTTTTGAAAATCAATGTTAATTTTATCTAGATACTGTAATAAACGAAAGTTTTTTTTATGTCATCTGAAAGGCAGCAATATAAGCAACATTTTAAACCCTTTGTCATAAATATAACAAGTGAAAGCAAAGATATATGCATTTTTATAGTTGATGGCTTCACTCAGGAAGTGAAGCCTGCACCACACCCAATAAATTGTGTAATTCGTTTGCATGTATGCTAATTAACCTTAAAAATCTATGTCAGAAGAAAGACATGTAGATGTTAATGTAATTATATTTCAAGAAATACTGTATACTGTATATCTTAAGTGAAAGCCAAGATATGGTTAAATAAAACCACATCACTGGTGTCCAGACACATGAAAACTATCTAGACATCAGTGTCCAGCCAGGTGGGGGATCACAAGCTGCACATTACTGATACATTTTATAATTCACAGAGATGCATTGATGAACATCAATGTTTTATATTCTATTAAAAATACAGATATAAACTTTGTTTTTAAATGTTGAATGTAACAATATTTAAAGTATAAGAACCAAGATATATTTAGAATGTTATCGATGATTTAATAAATCGTTAGTCAGGCAGAGTGCCAAGAGTGGTGGAAGGTTGCTAATGTGGTACCAATTTTCAAGAAAGGAGATAGATCACTTGCGTCAAACTATCGGCCAATTAACTTAACGTCTATTGTGGGAAAGTTGCTTGAATCGATAATTGCAAATCCCCCTCTGTCGTCAATATAAAGAGAGGCTTAGAGCTCTCGAGGTTGTTACAGGTTATCACTAAGGCTACGGTGCCAATATTAATGTCAAAATGTAAATGTTTTCAAAATGATGTACCTTGCATACATCAGATCTTTAATGGATTATGCTGCGCCTCTGCTTGCTTTGATGTTTGAAAGCAAGCTTGGAGGGCATGAAAAATTGCAGAACGAAGCCTTGAGGATAATCCTTTGGTGCCCTTGTACCACAAAGATACATAACATGAGAGAGGAACTTTATATTCCGAACGTCGTTAATCGTGTTACTGAAAACTGTCAAAATGGTATAAAAATGCTTAGGCTAGGTCATCCTAACCCTTGCACAGTAGCTCTCCAGAATTTCTTTATTGCAGGTAACATTGTTCCAAATTTATTGTTATTTATTTATTTATTTATCTATATACAAGAAGGTACATTGGGTTTATGAGAGTACATAGCATAGATGTTTTAACATTCTTGTAAAGCCACTAACACGCATCACATAGTTTACATTTGGAATGTTCACCATTGGGAGATTCATTACCG